AGCCGGGAACAGCCGGGACCGGTCACCGGGAACAGCCGGGACCGGTCACCGGGATCAGCCGGGATCAGCCGGGACCGGTCACCGGGAACAGCCGGGAACAGCCGGGAACAGCCGGGATCGGCCACCGGGAACAGCCGGGAACAGCCGGGAACAGCCGGGACCGGTCACCGGGATCAGCCGGGAACAGCCGGAATCGGCCACCGGGAACAGCCGGTATCAGCCGGGAACAGCCGGGACCGGTCACCGGGATCAGCCGGGAGCGTCCCACGGCCCGGCCAGGGGCTCCGGAAAAGCTGCAGGAGACACCAAAAGGTGACACACGGGTGTCACACGGGTGTCACATGTGTCACAGGGGTGTCACATGTGTCACACGGGTGTCACAGAGGTGTCACAGAGGTGTCACACAGTTGTCACACAGTTGTCACACAGGTGTCACAGGGGTTTCACAGAGGTGTCACACGGGTGTCACAGGGGTGTCACACGGGTGTCACACAGTTGTCACAGAGGTGTCACAGGGGTGTCACAGGTGTCACACGGGTGTCACAGGGGTGTCACAGAGATGTCACACGGGTGTCACAGGGGTGTCACAGGGGTGTCACAGGGGTGTCACAGAGATGTCACATGGGTGTCACACGGGTGTCACAGAGGTGTCACAGAGATGTCACATGGGTGTCACACGGGTGTCACAGGGGTGTCACAGGTGTCACACAGGTGTCACAGAGGTGTCACACGGGTGTCACACGGGTGTCACAGAGGTGTCACAGGGGTGTCACAGGGGTGTCACACAGGTGTCACAGGTGTCACAGAGGTGTCACACAGTTGTCACACAGGTGTCACACAGGTGTCACACAGGTGTCACACGGGTGTCACAGAGGTGTCACAGGGGTGTCACAGGGGTGTCACAGGGGTGTCACAGGTGTCACAGGTGTCACAGGGGTGTCACAGGGGTGTCACAGGGGTGTCACAGGGGTGTCACACGGGTGTCACACGGGTGTCACAGGGTGTCACAGGGGTGTCACACGGGTGTCACACGGGTGTCACACGGGTGTCACAGAGGTGTCACAGAGGTGTCACAGGGGTGTCACAGGGGTGTCACAGAGGTGTCACACGGGTGTCACAGGGGTGTCACAGGGGTGTCACAGAGGTGTCACAGGTGTCACACGGGTGTCACAGAGGTGTCACAGGTGTCACACGGGTGTCACAGAGGTGTCACAGGTGTCACAGGTGTCACACGGGTGTCACAGGGGTGATTCTGCCCTGGGCTTTCCCGCCTGGGCTCTGCTCCAAGCCTTGTGAGGAAGCTGAGGGTGAGTTCCAGAACAGAATTCCAGAATGGTTTTGGTGGGAAGGGACCTTAAGGTTCATCCAGTGCCACCCCTGCCATGGCAGGGACACTTCCACTGTCCCAGGCTGCTCCAGGTCCTGTCCAGCCCGGCCTTGGGCACTGCCAGGGATCCAGGGGCAGCCCCAGATGCTCTGGGCACCTGTGCCAGGGCATCACCACCCTCACAGGGAGGAATTTCTTCTCAATTTCAATCTTAAATTCCCCATTTTTGGCTTGAAGCCATTCCCCCTTGTTGTCACTGCGGTTCCTGCAGAGCGGCCCTCCTCTCTCCTCCCTGTAGACCCTTCAGACCCTGGAAGATGCTCTGAGGTCTTCACACAACCTTCCCTTCTCCAGGCTGAGCTGCCCCAAGCAGCCCATCCTGTCTGCACAGGGGAGCTGCTCCCGTTCCTTTATCTCACCTCCATGGCCCTGCTGGGCTCGCTCCAGCACTTCCACGTCCTTTTAATGCTGGGAGCACCAGAGCTGGATCCAGGCAACGCCAAAATCCCCGTTCCACTGCCAGGGACCCCCGGGGCTGGGACAGGGCTGTGTCACCCTCACCCCCAGCTCCTGCTCATGAGTTTGACCCAGCTGCCTCCCCTGCAGACCCAAGAGAGCACCAAGAGAGCGGCAGGAAAGGAGCCAGGGAGGCAGGAGGGCTCCGGGAGCTGCCTCAGCTCGTGGATGTCTTTATTGGGAGTCGGAACGTGGCACAGGCATGCGAACAGGACAGAGACAGGAGCGCTATTGCCTCGGTGACAGAGATATGGCACAGCGGCAGCAGGAGCCTGACCCCCCAGGCCAGCCGGGATCCCCAAACCTCGGTCTCCTATTGCTTCCCATCCCCATCCCAGGCCCCGAGCGCCCCGTGCCCGTGGGATCGGCGCCCGGAGAAGGGATCCCAGTGGCCGTGTGGCGGTGCAGGGGTGGGAGATGTCCCGGTGAGCGGCTGGATCTCCACAGCTGGAGGTGAGGTGCAGCCAAAAGCGTGGGCGAGGCGAGGGGGCAGCCCAGGGGTGCTGGGGCAGCGTGGCCGTGGCAGGGCTGGCACCAGGAAGGGAAACGGGGCTGTCCCCAACCTCCCTCCCGACCCCACTGCTCCGAGGCACCTCTTGGGGGGACCCAGCTGCCAAACCCCCCCCAGCGATGGAGCTGGAGCTTTGGGGAGAGAAAACTCCTTGGGAAGAGCTTCCCTGGGCTCTGGGGGGAGCATCCCTGGGGAATGCACATCCCAGCCTCGGGAGAGCATCCCTGGGGAATGCACATCCCAGCCTCGGGGGGAGCATCCCTGGGCTCTGGGGGGAGCATCCCTGGGGGAATGCATCCTTTAGCCTTAGGAAGAGCATCCTTGGCCCCTTCCAAAGCGTCCCTCGGGATCCACGTCCCTCCCCCTCGGAGAAGGCATCCCTTGGGGAGGGCACCCTGGCCAGGGCGCTGCCTGCATCCAGCTGGGGCTCAGGAGAAGGTGACCACCTCACCCTGGGGGTAACTGGAAGCGAGGGTGTCCTGGCAGGAATCTGCAATTAAAGACATAGACATTAAACACGCCATTAGATATTTGCTTCCATGAGCTACGTGGGGAGAAAGAGCAGAGGGACACGGAGCTTCCAGGGGACCCCCACTTAGCAGGATGCAGAAAACAGAGTAACCACAAAGTGAAGTGGCCTTTTCCAGAGGGATAAATGCTGCTGTGGCATCTGTGAGTTGGGGAAATGGTTTAAAAAAGCCTCAGAATGGTGGCAGAGATGGAGACTTGGGAAATGATTCTCCAAGAGAAACCACACGTGGCATCAGGGTGATTTTGAGGGTATAAATGAAAAGCAGGGGGAAAACATCACCCTCACCACATCCCTCTCGTCCCTCTAATCCCAAAAAGCTGCTCTTGCCCAAAACTTCCCAAGCCAACCCCAAGCCAGATGTCCCAAAGCCAAGGCTGGTGCATTAATCCCTCAGCGTTTTTTCTTCTCCCTCTCTCCCTCTCATTTGCTATCATTGAATTAATTATCATTGATTGGAGCTCTGAGTCACCCCAGCGCCTCTCCCCATGTGCCAGGGCCCAGGTTCCAGGCAGGGAGAGCGCCTGATCCACCCAATAAACCAAAAATTGTGCTTTGAACCTCACCCCCAGCTCCTGCTCATGAGTTTGACCCAGCTGCCTCCCCTGCAGACCCAAGAGAGCTCCAAAAACCCCTCCTTTCACACAAAATAAAGGTCTCTCTCTCCATGGAGCAATGAGCAATGCCCAGGCATGGAGGCTTTTCAAACCCCACATCCCAAAAACCCCCTGGGGATTAGAGGAGCTCTCCTCCCTCAGCGGGCAGGAGAGCTCCCCACCTCTGAAAACAAAAAGCTTTGAGGACCCAACAACATCCCCCTGCAGCAATCTGGGGACCAGCAGTGCCCAGGCACGCAGCAGCTGCTGAAAAATATCCCAGCTCTTGGTTCAGTCACTCCTGCAAGCAGCTAAAAGCTCTTGGCAGGGCTCATGTCCTGCTAGAAACATTCCCCATCAGGTCGATTGATTTACCAAGGGCACGACTTGGCTTTTAACTCCCATCTCCTCCTCCCCGTTCAAAGCCATTTTATGTGTTAGCTCGAGACCTGCTGCCCGCAGCCTCCAGGGACCTGCCTTGGAAAGCAGCTTCCCAGCCTGGGACAAAAATTAGCACGACTAGAAATAAATAACAACAGCCCAGATTTTTATTTTTTTTGTCCCCCAGGCAAAGGCACCATGAGAAAACAGCCCTCCTGTCTTGGCGTATCAGCTCACCCTCACAGCCCCTCGGTGACCTCCAGCCCCTTCCTCCAGCCTAATTTGGGGTGCAGATCTGCCACCAGCCTCTGTAGGGCACTGCCCTGGGCAAGGCAGGAGCCTTGGCACAGCCCCAAATACCCAAATACCCCCGAGGTTTGCTGCTCTGAGCCATCAGCCCCAGATTTCCCCTCACGGGGAGTTCACATCCCCGACACCCAGCACAAGCTCTGGGTCAGCCCTGCACTGACCCTGCTCAGCCCGAGGAGGCTTTGGGGGGCTGGGGGGATTGCCCAGCACTGCACCCAGAACCCCCAGGGCAGGGGGGGATTCTGCCCTGCTCAGGGGAGACCCCACGGGCAGAGCCCCCAGCATCAGGAGCACCTGGAGCCCCTCGGCTCTGGAGCCAGGCTGGAGAGCTGGGGGGTTCACCTGGGGAAGAGAAGGCTCTGGGGAGATCCTGGGGCTCCAGGAGAGCTGCAGAGGGACTTTGGAGAAGGAAGAATGGCTTCCCTCTGCCAGAGGGCAGGGATGGATGGGATATTGGGAAGGAATTCCTCCCTGGGAGGGTGGTGATGCCCTGGCACAGGTGCCCAGAGCAGCTGTGGCTGCCCCTGGATCCCTGGGAGTGTCCAAGGCCAGGCTGGATGGGGCTTGGAGCAGCCTGGGATGGTGGAAGTGTCCCTGCCATGGCAGGGGGTGAAGTGGGATGGAATTAAGGTGCCAATTCCCTGACTCTGTGATTACTTTTCCACAGGCACCAGGATGCATCCCCTGCCCTCGCCTGTCCCACACAGGAGGAAGCGTGACCCTCCTCCCAGGAGTTCACAGAATCCTTCCTGAGCCTCCATCCACCTTTTCCGTGGGTAAAGCATAAGGCTCAGTTGCCCGGGTGGAGGTAAGGAAGTAACAGACTGGGAGCTGGGAGGCTCCTATTTATAAGCTCAACTGCATCCTATTTTGCATCTGCCTCTGCTCTCCCTGTTCCTCGTCAGCACGGGCAAGCCATGGGGTTGCTATTTATTTTCTGTTTTTCTTTATTGTCATCAAATAAGCAGCGAGGATTTTTCCTGGCAGTGCTGGGGAAGCCAGGAACAGGCTCCTTCTGGGTAGAGCAATTACTCTCTTGACATCTTCACCTCCCGCCCGGCTGCCTGACAGGCCTTTCTATTTTCTCAGCTCTCTCCGGCATCTCCCGAGAAACAGAGCAGTTGTTGCAACAATAAAAATTAATACTTCGCAAGCAACCCGGGATCGTGGTGCAGCCTCCGCCCAGAGCCCGACTCCGAGTCTTCCAGGAGGAAAAGAGAAGGAAGGAGTTGATGCTGGAGCGGGGAACTGCTCCCAAATCCCCCTGATCCAAATGCTGCTCTGCTTTGGCTCCTTGCATGGGGGTGGCTGGTCACAGGGGATCGATCCTTGCCCCAGGGTTCTGATCCATGTCACAGGGTTCTGATCCATGTCCCAGAGTTCTGATCCATGTCCCAGGGTTCTGATCCTTGTCCCAGAGTTCTGATCCATGTCCCAGGGTTCTGATCCATGCCCCAGAGTGCTGATCCATGCCCCAGAGTTCTGATCCATGCCCCAGAGTGCTGATCCATGTCCCAGAGTTCTGATCATTGTCCCAAAGTTCTGATCCATGCCCCAGAGTTCTGATCCACATCCCAAAGTGCTGATACTTGTCCATGGTTCTTATCCATGTCCCAGGGTTCTGATCCATGTCCCAGACAGTTCTGATCCATGTCCCAGAGTTCTGATCCATGTCCCAGGGTTCTGATCCTTGTCCCAGAGTTCTGATCCATGTCCCAGGGTTCTGATCCTTGTCCAGAGTTCTGATCCTTGTCCAGAGTTCTGATCCTTGTCCAGGGTTCTGATCCATGCCCCAAAGTTCTGATCCATGTCCCAGGGTTCTGATCCATGTCCCAGGGTTCTGATCCTTGTCCCAGAGTGCTGATCCATGTCCCAGAGTGCTGATCCTTGTCCCAGGGTTCTGATCCATGTCCCAGAGCGGGCAGACACCGGCAGAGGAATGTGGGGAATGCAGCCCAGCGTCACCCAGCACCTCTGGAGTGCTCCAGGCTGGACAGAGCTTGGAGCAGCCTGGCCCAGCAGGAGCTGTCCCTGCCCACGGCCCTTCCATCCCAAACCATTCCATGGCTCCGTGGGCTCTGGTCCCGTTCCCACTGTCCCACGGTGGGGAGAGGGACACGGGGCACTAAAGGCTCTGTGTGGTCCCTCCCTGCCGGGCATCCCGCTGTCCACAGGTGAGGGACACATTCCTACAACACTCCCAGTGCTCCTCCCTGTATTCCAGCTCATCCCATCATCCCACCCAGCACTCCCATCCCATCCCATCCCATCCCCAGGGAACGTCTCCATCCTGTGCTGCCGTGCCCCTGCACACCCCCTGATGTTTGGGGTTTTTTAATGCCATTTTAGGGCTTGGCCAGGGGCAGTTGGGCTCCTGTGGATTTATCCAGTTTCTCAGGAATAAATCCAACAGCTTGGCTTTCTCTCGGTGCCTTTTGCCTGGGCTGGAACGTGAGCTCCTACCAGATCCCTAAACACAGATAAACCCTGCGAGGATATTCAGGGGAAGTATCGTATTCGTGCTCTATTCTTGTCCTATTCTCCAGGCAGCCAATTTTGGCCACTGTTTGAGATAAAAACCTGGGCTCCAGAGATATTTACAGGTCTGCTGTGATCCACTACAGCTCCTCTTCTAATCTTACCTGGGGATAAACCCCTGCTAACTCGCCCCCAAAACCAACCCAGACCCCGCCTAAAAATAACAACAAGCTGTTTTCTCCTCCTGCATCCCCCAAATCCTGCTCAGAAGAAGGCGGGGAGGAAGAGGGAGAAGATGCGATGGGTTTTTCAGCAGTTTGGTGCCTCCCACTGAAATCCCTCCATCTCCCTTTCGGGGCTGGGTTGTTTTAGAGGAGCTTTTTGCACATTAGTCATCCCTTCTCCCGGGTTGCATAACGCCCCTGCTAAAAATTGCATCCTGCCGGCTCCGTGTCAGCTCATGCCCAACCCTCCTTGCTCGGGTGGGGATGAGATTTTGGGGGGTCCACCAAAGGTTTTCCACCCCAAGAAACCACTCTGGTGTTGGGATGAGCTGCTCTGGGAGCCGAGGGGGCAAAGGCAAGGATGGGATCTCCTGGGATCTGGGGCTGCTCTGGGTTTAACCCTTGACCTGCAAGAGACTCAGACCCCAAAATCTGAGCATCTTGATGTGATTCTTCTGCAAGAGATGGGGTTTCACAGCCGGCTCATCCCCAAAGTCAGTGCGTGACCTTGGATAGATCACTTGTGATCCAAAGAACACTGGAGTCATGGAGGGTCACCTTCCCTCTGGCAGGGATATTCCAGCTCCTGCTTCCAGAGGGAAGGAGGAGCCGGGGAGCACCTGCATGGTGCTGCTGCAGCCACCCCTTTGCCCAGTTCATGGAATTCTGGGTGATTCATGGGCCTGCCCTGTTCCCCTGTGGGAATACAGAGCTACAGAAATCCAAGGAATGCGGCCGTGCCCAGCACACAAAGCCAGTGCTGCTGGTGAGGGGTGGCTCAGCACCACAGCCCAGCCTGGC